ACCAGTATTTGTTTTAAAAAAATTGCTGTCAGGATTTCTGGAGGGCCCAAAAGAGCTCTTCTTTATATGGGTGGCAGGTAGTTGTTGACTTACAATCACAGCTGCTGAACCCAAAGTTTCCATTGTTAGCGAGACAGTTGTTCAAGTATGGTTACATTCCACAACCCTTTTCCTCCAGCTGTCTAGTGCAGGGGTCTCCAACCTTGGCAACTTTAAGACTGGTGGACTTCAACTCCCAGAATTCTTCAGCCAGCTTTGCTTGTGGACTTCAACTCCCAGAATTCCTCAGCCAGCTTTGCTTGTGGACTTCAACTCCCAGAATTCATCCCAGCACACATCTTAAAACTGCTGAGATTGAGGAGCAGGAGGAGAAGAAGCAGAAGAAGAAGCAGGAGGAGGAGGAAGAGGAGAAGAAGAAGCAGGAGGAGGAGGAAGAGGAGGAAAGAGGAGGAGGAGAAGCAGCAGAAGAAGAAGCAGGAGGAGGAGGAAGAGGAGGAGAAGCAGGAGGAGGAGGAGGAAGGGGAGGAGAAGGAAGAAGAGAAGAAGCAGCAGGAGGAGGAAGAAGAGAAGAAGCAGCAGGAGGAGGAGAAGCAGAAGAAGAAGAAGCAGGAGGAGAAGAAGGAGAAGAAGAAGCAGGAAGAAGAGAAGGAGGAAGAAAGGAAGAAGCAGGAGGAGAAGGAGAAGGAAGAAGAGGAGAAGAAGTAGTAGGAGGAGAAGAAGCAGAAGAAGAAGAAGCAGGAGGAGGAGGAAGAGGAGAAGAAGCAGCAGGAAGAGGAGAAGCAGGAGGAGAAACAGAAGAAGCAGGAGGAGGAGGAGAAGCAGAAGAAGAAGCAGCAGGAGAAGGAGAAGAAAGAGAAGAAGAAGCAGGAAGAGAAGGAGGAAGAAAAGAAGAAGCAGGAAGAGAAGGAAGAGGAGAAGAAGCAGCAGGAAGAGGAGAAGCAGGAGGAGAAGCAGAAGAAGCAGGAGGAGGAGGAGGAGGCACGACAGGAAAACAGTGATATTGTCAGTATATAAAGTGTAATTAATCTGGGTTGCATTCAAACAATCCGCATTTGTCTCGCCCTATCTATGACCTCTGGGACTGGCACACTCTCAAAAAGTCAGTGCTTGGCTTCTGGCCCAGGAAAATTGGGTCACTCCTATTTTAAGCATCAAAGTAGAGGACAGCACTGAGACATCTTGGATGATTCCAAAGAAACTAAGCAGGCCTGAAGCTCATTAGTCCTCGGAGAGGAGAACACGGAGAAATCCCAGGGCTGGAGCCCAGGCTGGGCAGGAGGAGACGCCGATCACGGGGGGCCAGCTACGTTCAGATCATTTTTTAATCGATTAGACAGTGGACCTTATCAAAAATATACCTGGGCAGAAAAATACCTTGGCAAGTGCAGTCAGGCTTTCAGAGTAATCCAAATAAGAAGCCGGAGCAAGGAGTATCAACATTACCTTTATTGTAAGGTTATAGCAGAAATCTGAAAGCTTTTTCTCCCCTCCACTTTACTCTTTGAGAAACTAGGGAGGGTCCCTTCTGAGAATCTGTAGCGATTCTCAGTCCTTCAGGTCATGATTGTCCCAAAGGTGCTTTTTTCAGGAGGCATCTGGACTTTCTGGTTTTTCTTTGAAGACATTTCGCTTCTCATCAAGAAGCTTCTTCAGCTCTGGCTGGATGGTGGGGAATGGAAGGATTGATACTCCATGCAGACAGCTGGTCCTTTGCATCTTTTTTGAGGATCGTTGAGGCACTTGGAGGTTTATCTATGTGTCTTCAGGATCATCTGAGTAGTGCAAATGGTTCCTGTTGTCTGCAATTTTTCTGGAAATCCCACACCATTGGAAGGGTGTTTATCTATCCCAGATTGCATCCTTCCATTCCCCACCATCCAATCAGAGCTGAAGAAGCTTCTTGGATGAGAAGCAAAACCTCTTCAAAAGAAAAAAAAAACCAGAAAGTCCAGTTGCCTCCTGAAAAAAAAAAAACACTTTTGTGGACAACCATGATCTGGATGACTGAGAAATCTCTACAGGCTTTTAGCTATGCAATTTGGGATGAACCCCTTTCAGTTCTCGAAACTCTAAAATGATCATATGGGCTTCCACCTGTCACATCTGGATCTCCATGGTGGACGTAGAAGAGACGCACAGATGGCTGCTGATGTTCTTGCACGGGGGCATCTCCAAACTTAAGACTTGTGGACTTCAACGCCCAGAATTCCTTAGCTACCATTTTGGAAGTCCACAAGTCTTAAAATTGCCTGGTCTTGCACACAACTTTCGATCCATCTAACGTGGACAGTGAAGTCTAGATTTTCCAAGGCCCTCATCAATTTCCCCTGTTCTATCTATCTCATTCACAAACGTCAAGGAGAATGAGACACTCCTTGTGTTGGGTGTTGGTTGCTGTTTAGTTGTGGTCATACCAATCCATCAGATAGAAAAAGTGTGACATTGGCCAGATAAAAGGACAAGCTTGAGAAGATAATCTGGGTTCCAACCGCCTTCAGAA